TCATAGTTTTAGCTTCATCTCGAGGCTTGTCCTCTTATATGGCTTCTTCTTCCACAAGTTCGAGTGATATTTGTCGGTGCCCGTTCAAAAGCATCCATTGTTGCCCAAATGGGGAAGTGGGAAGTAAAGGGACTGGCCGTATGATTTCACACATCAAAAGACATCATTTACCTACCGAAGATCGTAAAAGCGTGCTACGTGAAGCTCTTTCTAGGGATGTTGGTCTATTTATGGCATTGGAAGAAACTTTGAAGGCCTTTGGTCAATGGATGTGTGGGGAGTGTATGACTTTGCAGGCTCTTAGCCGTTATTGTCATCACCCGGATGGTCGTGTGAGGTTTGTTACAGGGAATGATGGCTCGAGTCGTTATATTGTCGGTATTCTAAAGCCGTCAAATAAAGAGTCGGTGACAAATGCTCTTGGAGGTTTGGTTTTTGATGTTACGCTCCTTGATCATGTTTTTAAAGTGCCTATCACTACTGTCAAGCGTATCCCCCATAGTTGTCGTCTTGCTTTCTCTCAGGCTTTGAAGACCGCTCTTTACAAGGTGATTGCCCAACCTGGCTCGGTTGAGGCATGGATGTGTTTGTTACTTCTCCCTCGATGTACACTGCAGGTGTTTAGACCCAAAAATAGACAAGAATGTAGGTCTGGGAATAGAAAATCTTTACAACAAAGCTCCATCCTGAAATCCTTGGATACATGGGGGAAAGAGGGTGGTATCACGAAGTTAGTTCAAAATATGTTAGACAACCCTGAGGTTGGAGCTATGAGACAGGGTGGAGGCATCCTTCAGAAGGAGGCTACATAAAGTAATACCAACATTTGACAGTGCCTCCGTAAGGTTGCAGATGGTCATTTTACCGCAGCAGTGAAAGTGTTATGCTCATCGGGTGTTTCACCATATAATGGTGATACTATTAAAGCTTTGGAGGACAAACACCCTTTCAGACCACCCCCATCCATGCCGAGCCCTATAATTTCTGAACCTCCCCTTGTAGCAGATTGTGATTGTGTATTTAGTTGCATAAAATCCTTCCCTAAAGGAACTTCTTGCGGGAGAGATGGCTTGAGGGCTCAACACTTGCTAGACGGCCTTTGTGGAGAAGGGGCTACTATTTCCACAGATCTCATATATGCTATCACTTTGGTTGTTAATTTATGGTTAGCGGGAAGATGTCCAACCATTTTGGTAGAGTTTGTTGCATCCGCTCCTCTCACGCCTCTTCTTAAACCTGACAACGGGATCCGTCCGATTATAGTAGGCACTATATGGAGATGTCTGGTTTCCAAGGTTTCCATGAAAGGTGTGGGTAAAGAAATGGCCAAGTACCTTAATGATTTTCAGTTTGGGGTTGGGGTATCTGGCGGTGCTGAGGCTGTGTTACACAGTGCCAATAGGTGTTGAGTGAACACCATGCTGATGGGTCTCTTGTAATGCTGAATATGGATTTTTCGAATGCCTTTAACCCGGTTGATCGTTCAGCATTGCTCCACAAGGTTAACAAGATGTGCCCTTCCATTTCTTTGTGGGTGAATTTCTTGTACGGGAAAGCAGCGAGACTTTATATCGGAGACCAACATATATGGTATGCCACTGGGGTGCAGCAAGGTGACCCCTTGGGCCCTCTTCTTTTTGCCCTTGTTTTGCACCCGCTTGTGCACAAGATTAGAGACAATTGTAAGCTCCTTCTTCATGCTTGGTACCTAGATGATGGGACTGTCATTGGGGATTCAGAGGAGGTGGCTAGAGTGTTGAACATAATTCGGTTGCATGGTCCAGGTTTGGGTTTTGAGTTGAACATCAAGAAAACGGAGATTTTTTTGGCCCTCATGTGATGGTAGGAAGCTTCGTGCTGATTTATTCCCTACGGAGATAGGGAAACCTTCTTTGGGGGTGAAATTCCTTGGGGGTGCTGTTAGTAGAGACGCGGGGTTTATTAGCGGGATGGCCATGAAGAGAGCGGTCAATGCTGTTGATTTGATGGGCCTTCTTCCACAACTATGTGACCCACAAAGCGAGCTCCTTTTGCTTTGATCGTGTATGGGCATTGCAAAACTTTTCTTTGGTTTAAGGACATGTCAGCCGGTACACATAGAAGAAGCAGTGTTATTCTTTGACAAGGGACTGCGCAGGTCTATCGAGGATATGGTGGTATGTGGAGGCCCGTTCTTTGGAGACATTCAGTGGCGCTTGGCTTCCTTACCTATTCGTTTCGGTGGTTTGTGTTTGTACTCGGCCTACGAGGTTTCCTCCTACGCATTTGTAGCCTCAAGGGCCCAATCTTGGGCATTACAAGACCACATCTTACGTGACAGTGGCATATGTGGTATGGACTCGGATTACCTGTGTGCTATGACTCGTCCCCGTGATACGATTCCGGGATTTAACTGTAGGCGTTTCACTAATAAGGACACCGCCCCTCCTAAATCCCAAAAAGCTTTGGCATGTGCCCTTTTTAGCAAAATCGTCCAAGATATAGAAGTCAACTTCGACATGACTGTCAGACAGAAAGCAGTCTTTGAGTGTCTGCGGGCACCTCATGCTCAGGATTTTCTGCTAACTATCCCTATTGATGGTCTTGGCCAGCATATGTCTCCTCTGGAGTACCACACTATCCTTCGTTACCGCCTCATGATTCCCATATTCCCAATTGACGAGATATGCCCAGTTTGTCGCAAGGCATGTTTGGATACCTTTGGGGAACACGCGGTTCAGTGTAGAGAGCTCACTGGTTTCAAGTATAGACATGATGTGGTTTGAGATGTTCTCTTTGATGCTTGTCAGCGTGCTGGTATTTCTGTGAAGAAAGAAGCGCCAGTGAACTTTTTGACGGACCCGCAGGATGGCAGGTCCACACTTAGACCGGCTGACATTTTGGTCTTTGGATGGATAGGAGGGAAGCATGCGTGCGCGGATCTTACTGGTGTCTCTCCTCTCGTTGGTTTGGGGAGCGAAGGTTTCGCAGCTGGGCATGCCGCTGCATGCAAAGTGGTAAAGCACGATAATGCATGTAGAGAAAATCAGCATGTGTTTGTTCCTTTTGCATTCGATACATTTGGTTTTCTCGCACCAGAAGCGGTGGAGCTCCTTGATAGAGTCCAACGGGTCGTGCATTCTAATGTCATATCTCCTAGATCCACAAATGTTGTTTTCAAACGAATTGGTTTTGCCATCCAGAAAGGGCTAGCGGTGCAGCTTGTTGCCCGTTTGCCTTCAATCGATATGTATTGAACTTTCAACATCTAAAATATTCGACCAATTGTTCTTTGTTTCTTAATATATTGTGTTACTCGTTCAAATAATCTTGTGTCTTGTGACATGTTGATTAGATGGAAAAGCAAGTTATAAAGTTTACTTACTTTTTATATTTAGATAGATGAAAAAAATCATTTATAAATCATATTCTTTTATTAAATACCACAGGTGGATAACTAGACAGATAAGAAAACAAGTGAAAAAAAATCTAGTCAAAATATATTCTTAATGGGTCAAGATGAGTTAGTTGGGTTGGATTGTCTGAAAAACATGCATTGCATATTTTTAGATTTTTCAAAAGTAAAAAATTGTTAATTCATTTCATAATAACAAGTTCAGATGAATCATTTCATCATCATCCTTTGTTTAATTGTACATATATAGTTTTTCAATATAATTAGTGGGGATGTAGCATGTTATGGCGAATTTACTAATTCTATACTTTCAATACCATTTACGTAATGCTTTCTTACAAATAGAGTATTTTTGTAATTCTTCTACTAGACCAAGACCGCTACAATACTTTTGTTTTACATATGAAAGATGTCTATAATTTTACTGGTACGTGGGGATCAATTATGCAATATCACTCTTGCACATAACTATTTTGTAAAAAAGGGAACAAAACTATAACCGATGCAAATTATAAACCGGATGGATCAAAACTCATAGGAATAGGTCAGTCTTGACTATTTCAATAACCAAGGCAAATGGGTTCAATAAAAAATTTCAGTTTTGAGATTGATAATTGATGCGTGCGAATAACCAAATGGTTTATTGTCCATGGACAATAAATGTAAGAGAACACCAAAGAAAATAATGGTTTCAAGATTACTAATAAAGAAAGTCTCTAGAGGAAGATTATGAGGAAACTATAGAGAATATTTTAGAGGATGCATGGTCGAGGAAGGCATTTTAACTAAGTCGCGACTGGGTGCTTTCATTGTCCAAATCCTATGGCATTATCAATTTGAATGCCCTAGTTTGGAAGGAAGTGTAACCTTTACTAATATGAATATGCATGAACAAATACTATTTATAGAAATTATGGACAAAGAAGAGGCACAAAAGGATGAAGTTTCATATTTAGACTCACGTTGTTCCAAGTTCCAACCACATGACCGGTAACAAAAATGGTTTGTTGAATTTGCTGAACAACTAAATTATGTGAAGTTAGAAAGCATGGAAAACATACAGGACCGGGGACATGACAATATTATTGGAAATAATTCCCAGTCACAATGGTTGTTATTATTACTAACAATGTCATGTTCGTTTTGCATTGCCCACGTTTCTCGTGCGCAGATTGAAACCCACATGTCTAGAACTTGAGGCCTTTCCTATGGGGTAGCTAAGTTTTAGCCGGTGAGCCACCAAGGTGATGGCTAATTACAAATAATATATCATTCATTATAAAAATTTTGGGGATGATTGAGATTGTTTTGAAAGCTAATTTTGGGGATACAAAATATTAATTTCTTGTTAGTTACGATCTAAACTTATTTTTTAATTATGATTTATATCTACACATATGGATACAAGAAATGAAGATAAGATATCATTCATTTATTTATTACTTTAACAACATATATAATATATATAAGTAAATTTGAGACATGCGATTTCAATATCAAGTCAAACAATCCATGTTTACTTGATGCTTATTTAGAAATAGATAAGGATATATAAACAATAGTTTCTCCCATTTTATTTAAAAGTCACACTCATAATAGAAGATGATTAGCTTGAATTAGGATCTCTTGAAGATCCTTCACTGTAATTGAAGGAGTTGTTACCCTTTCCGCTATCATCTCCAATTCCAACACTATTGTTATTACCACTGCCATTACCGTTAACAGTTTCATTGCCATTTTGGGAAACCTTTCCGTTGACGGCACCATTGTTGCTACCACTTCTGTTTCCAATATTGTTGTGGCTACCGTTGTTATTTTCATTATTTCTGTTATTAGCGATGACGGTGTTTTTTTCGATGTTGAGGTAGTCATTTTTGTTGGCATTGCTTTTATTTTCAAAATAGATTTTTTTCTTGTTATTTCTGTTTCTTCGGCTAAGATCATTACAACCAACTTCACCATTTGTACATCCTCTTCCTTGTATTTTCTTAGTTCTTTCTCCATTATCACTATTGGAGCTTATTCCAATACCTGCTACGAACATTCCTCCATTATTTTCCTTGAGAGATTCTTTTCTAATATATTTATTCCCTCCTCCACATATCATGTCCGTCGTGGAACAACCAATCTTACTTGAAGCCTCTGCATATACAAGGGGTTGATTTTCCCTTTCAACAAGCTTTCTACCACGAGCAATGTCAGATGTGTACATCAAAAACCCGAAAAATATACCAACAAAAAGCTTAATTGCCATGATATTGGTTAGTTTTTTCTAATTTATATCGATGAATTATGATAATTCCTAACACAATAGCATGTATATATAGGGATTTAAATGGGAGAAAACATTAATATGATAGTTAATATATTAATGAATAAAAAATTTTACGTCTTAAAATACATTGAAATATCATTATGTGATATACTGTACCATCTAAATAATTTGACAAACCCATCAAAAAAATATCTATTTCTTTCTTATTTTACTAAAAAAGTTAAGTACATTCATAATATTTTATAACTGAAATTTCATAATAAAACTAGAAAACTCATCAAAAACTATACCATACTATTTGTGTTTTTATCGTTGAAATGACATAATAAAACTAGAAAACTCATATAAAACTACATCCCTTTTGAAATTGATCGTTATATTATTTTATTATATAGTACACCAATATAAAGTTTCTAAAATTTAAGATAACTATGTTATTTTAAAGAAACTCCAATTAGATGAAACTTTTTTCTTACTCATGTTTCATTTTCCATTTACATATAGAAGGTTTACGTGACCTATATATATATATATATATATATATATATATATATATATATATATATATATATATATATATATATATATATATATATATATATATATATATATAGGGTTAGGTTCATATGATTCGACTTGATTTTTTAAGACCGTGAGACGCATTTTTTTTTAATTTTTTAAATTTTTTTTTAGTTAATTCAAGTTCCGAAAATAATATTTAAAAAAAGAATTTTTGGATTTTTTCATTTATTTTGCATTTTAAAATTATATTTTAGAATATATCAGTGTGATATTCTATTAGAATATTTCACGTATTTTTAAAAAAAAATGAAATTTATTTTTATTTATTTTTAGTTAATTCAAGTTCCGAAAATAATATTTAAAAAAAGAATTTTTAAAATTTTCCATTTATTATGCATTTTAAAATTATTTTTTTAGAATATGTCAGTGTAATATTCCAATTAGAATATTTCACTTATCTAAAAAAAACCGAAATTTTTTTTAATTTTTTTTTTAGTTAATTCAAGTTCCGAAAATAATATTTAAAAAAAGAATTTTTGGACTTTTCCATTTATTTTGCAATTTAAAATTATTTTTAGATTTGATCTCACGGTCTCACAAAATTAGAATGATCTCAAATTAACCTGAACCGATATATATATATATATATATATATATATATATATATATATATATATATATATATATATATATATATATATATATATATATATATATATATATATAAGGTTAGATTATTTTGTTGTAACTATCTATTGTGTAAATGAAGGATTGATTCTGGACAGTCATTTTAATTATTTTAAGAAAGTAATTAATGCATATTACATGTTAAAGATATAATGAAGATTAATTAAATCTTCAGTATTTAATATGCATTAATTATTTTTTCTTAAAATAACTAAAATAATTGGTTCAAAATCAATCGTACAAGCACACAATAGATAGTAGAAACATTTGAACATAAGTCTCTCTTTCTCTCTCTCTCTCTCTCTCTATATATATATATATATATATATATATACACTTACTCTTTAACTTTTTTTTTTATACACTTTCATATCTTCTACATATATCACTTTTAAAAAAATGTTAAATCGTAACACTTATTGCCTAGATTAAATATGTCTCAAGGTCCAACATGTGGGAGATAAATCTTGTATCACTAGCAAAATTTTCTACATTCTAGTATTTGAACCCTTAAGTTTAAAAAAAATCATGTCAATTACTAGGATCCAATTGTAGGGATAGGTGTGTAATGTCATGTTCTAAAACGAATTGTTGAATATTAGAATATGAAATATTTAAATATATAAACTTATGAAATGTATTAAGGATATAATGTTGAATTGGTATGAGTCATTAAGTTAAATGGAATGAATAGAAGATAAGTGTTTTGAAATTTCATGCGAAACACAACACAACTACGATAGGGTTGAGATGAGATGAATGAAAAATGTATCATGATGTGATCATGTAAAAATGTGACAGATGAGGCGAGATTCTGGTTATGTAAAAATGTGTAGTGGCAACAACGTACATCGTAGGATCATGGCGGGATTCTATGATGCACAACGTCTTTTGTAGTTGGTTATTATGGGTTTTTAAACAAGTCTTTAGTGAAAGATTGTAAAGTGAATAGAAAAGTTTAGAGTTGTGACATAAGGGGAGACAAAGTGAAGGGACTAGCTATGATGCATCAATTATGCAGTTGTGACACGAAGTCCTTTACAACGAAAAAAATAAAAAAGGTTTAGTTTGTTATGTTGACCCAAATACTCATCCAAAAAGCACAATGGGAAGATAGAGGTGTGAACTTGGATGATATACGAGCTAACTTATTAAAATTTAGGACACATTGAAATGGATTGTACCACAACATCACCTATACACTTGATTTAAAAGAAACTTGAATGCAATGATTTGCACGGAAAAAGTTGGAAAACTTAAACCTTGAATTAATCTTACATTAATGGTTGCTAATAATGAAAAATCCAGTCAAACCTGGTAAACCAGCAAATTTGAAATGATTAATTTCAACAAAGTGCTCAAGATGGATAATATTAAGTATAAAAAGTGTAAAGAAAATAAGAACATGGAGAATGTTAGAGAAATGATTGACTGAATCATTCCTTTGATGTGATGGGTGGAAAATAATGTACACTAGGTAATGGGTGATCTCAATACAAAGATTGATTACTGCTTATATAGCTAAGGAGTTATTAAAAGTCAAATACATAAAAGGTGTGCATGGACTGAGAGACGACTAAAGATCAACAACCTGACACATCCATTGTTGTTGATATTGTCTCCTGTATTACACTATAAAACACTTAGAAGAATAAATAGTACTTGACACCTTAAATGTATTACAACTCAAATACTTCAAAATATAAAAATCTCTTAGAAAAGTCTTCACTTCGGTATGTATTAATCACAAAAACTCATTCAGGCTCAAAATCTACAACATCTCGGAGTTATACATGATCTTGGATAGTCACAACATATTGGATTGACTAACGGGCACTTAAGTTTCAACATTCTCCCCTAAGTGTCCTAGCAATCCTCAGTAATTCTACTTTGTTTATTCAAAAGCAAACATATAGGATTTTTTCATATAGCCTCGAACTGCAATGTACTCCCTGAGTTGATCAACAAATTCCTTTTTGATTTCTTTGAAAGCTTTAGTCTTGTCTACTTTCGAAATAAATCTATGAAGAATCGTTGTAGGAAATAGATGCTTGTCTCGGACTCGAAAGAACTCTTTTTTGCCCATGCTTATTTTTAGGTAGATGAATTCGAGCTCATGCTCTTTGATAGGGCCTTCATATAAGAGATCAACTCCATCAAGATCAGTAGAGACGGAGACAATTATCTTGTCAGTTTTGAACAAGTGGAAAACTTTATATCTGATCTTCCAAATTCAGCTACATAATCTTTCAAGTAGTTAAGGGTCAAGTTTTATGCTCATGTATTGCACTTTGAGGTCTATCCTTATTTGAGATGTACTGTAACGACCAAAATTTCATTGGGATTTATCGGTGGGAAATTATCATCCAAGATCCTGATCTTCACTTGAGAGTTCAGATAGGCATTGTAGAAGTAGAGAATTCAATTGATATCAAACTTTCCAAGTACTTTTGTCTTGAGGAAGACCATTAGTAGTGTAGAATGTGTTGATTCTTTCTCTATTGGTTCGGACGAGAGTGTATTTGTCGTACGATGGGTGAAGTGGAGAGAACTTGACATAGAATCTTCCATAAGGAGAGATGGGAAGATCTTTTCTCAAAATCATTTGAAGGAAGGGCATAACTTTAGGGGGGGGGGGGCACAAAGTGGTCATCATAAATCACCTTAAGGATAGTATGGAGTGAAACACGTGTGGGATTTATATTCTCCTTCATTTCTTGAATTCGGAGAATTTCGTCTATTGATTTGTTTATTTTGTCCATAAACCATTCTTTTTTTCTCAACTTCTTTATTGGACGGACTCGACCAAAGGAGATTCCTTTTCCTTTGTCTTTAATGGGGGTATTTCAGAGTGGAGGGGGAGGATTTAACCTATTGATCAACATGAGTGATTAATAACTTCGATCGAGGAGGAAGTAATGGTTCCTCAGAAAAATCATCAGATTTTTTTATAGGGGAACCAACATCAACAGGCTCGATTCTTAGAGCTAGAATGGGAGGAAGCATAAAATTAGTGGCTCGAAAGGGATTTGCTGTCAACTTTGTTTTTAGCTTGTGCATTTCATAGCTTCTTTTGAATGACTGCAAGATTCGATGGCCAATATACTGATGACCATTTCTTCTTCTCTTCTTCTAATAGGATCATGACATTTGGTGGTTCTTCCTTAATGGCTTGGAGCCCAATGATTACATCCATCACTTGGTCATTTAGATCAAATTTATCTTCTCTTTCAAACTTTTCACCTACAAACTCAATATCATCATCATCCAAGGATTTATCTCGGAGTTAGAATTCCGAGCTAGGTTTCCAAAACCTCATCACTTCTCCCTTTCTTTTATGTGAAGGCCTTGCCTCCGATGAAAGCAAAGCATCATGCTATAAATCATCTAGTTTCTCAAAGACTCGTTGGAAGCTCATACTTAATTGTTTTTTGACCTTATCGTAGGCTTTAGTTGTGGGAGCTTGTTCTTTGATGGTATCGAGGGTATCTTACATGATCAGGACCATCATATCAAATTTGTGGTTCAGAGTATCCACAAAATGTTTTGCAGACCGAATAATTTTGATTAATACTTTCTGTATAATCATTTTGAAGCCGTGCTTTTTTGGTTTTCCTTCTCTAAACATTGGATTTGTTTTTCATGATGAACATGAGTCAGCTTGATGAGTTCATTGGTAGCAAATATCGTCCTCATGTATCTTGAGAATTGTGGAGACATTGGGGATATGGTGGTCGAGATTGTCTTTATACTTCTATGCAGCTTCTTCA